AAATAAAAACCCACATCTAAAATATTAGATACTTTGAGTTTAGAGGCCCGTTCATCTGCATGTGCTCTTTTTGTCATCTAAAATTACTTCACTAAAACTCAAAGCGAGAACGTACATCTGAAATACTGGCTTGCAAAGGCATGGAGGAGCAGGTGACTGCTGATGAGGCTGAGACAAAGCAGTGTGTCCTGAACAAAGAGAAAGAGCTCTGTCATACGTTTTAGAGTGTGAAGCTCTATTTCCTGTTTTGCTACGTGGGACATGGTTCTTGTAACGCACATGTTCCAGTTCACTTGCCCAGCTATTGTGTTCTTCATCTGAAATACGGCCCCTTTGTTACAATACATTTGGTATATGTGATTTCAAGTGGGGACTGTTTTCTGTTAGCAGACTGTTTTCTTCTTCAAAAACAAGGCAGAAGGTAGCTAAAATTAAAAGTATGGGGAGAACCGGTCTTTTCAAGGAATACTTAGTTTAAGAAGTTGGGCTGAATGAAGGGCTTTCAGCTGGTCAGGAGCCAGGTCTTACAGACTGAGTGGCTTCCAAAGAACAGAAGCGTCTTAAGGCTGTTGCTGAAATTTGGACTCAAAGGATGCCTGACTGTCGTTCTTCAATACATTTAGGTATGAGAGGCTAAATATTTTTGTGCCCTTGAAAATTATGGATTTACAGGATTAAACTGAGCCAAAGCCAGTGAAAGCAGAAGCTATTCACGTTCCCCCCAGATATTTGCCAATAAACCTCAATCATGACCTGTAATAGTCTTGGTATCCCAATTTTGTGGTGTTTGCATTTACGCTGTCAATCGTACATAAATTTTGTGATGGTTTTCTGTCATGTGGTAAATACCTTGTGGAGTTAGGTGAGACCACCAAACCTTTCTGTCTGAGTCTTTGTCCAGACTTCTGAAACCTGGAAATGTCTTAAACTTTTCTCCTTCTCATAAATCAACAGCTTCGGTTCTCTTTCGTTGTCACACATAAACTAGGAAGTTACTCTTCCTGGGAAGAGACTGCTCCTAAGAAAATTATGGTAAATCCATGTTACTGAAACACTTTTGAGGGCTGGGACTGTTTTTTTATTCAGTGCTGTGAGTGACCAGCAAAGTAACAGGATCTTTGTTCATGTTGGATTAGTCCTACTGCAATAAAAATAACAATAAGCTCTTGGATGCTTTGGCAGCAAGTATTCCCTCTGGCTAATTTTCCAGTTGTACTTACTCATCTGTTTGAAAGTAGCCAAGGGAACTTGTGTCCTACAGTTTTTCAGGTCTTACAGTCAGATCTCTTTTTTGGTATGTCTTGCAGGCGGCAAGTTTGATGTACCAATGGTTTTGAACTCTATAATTGTTGCCTTGCTGCCTCAGTTTGCTCAGGAAAAAATGTGTGAAAATAGCAACTCTCAGAGCATCTCAAAAGCTGCGTCTTGAAGTCTCTGTTGTTTCTTACAACATGTAATCTGAAGGACTTTCTAGAAACTGCAGATTAGTATGGGTCAGAATATATGCAGTGTTTTCAAAGAAACTGGAACACCACCTGTTTTCTGCTGAAAAAACTTGACATTCGGACCGCATACTATAAAATAAAGATGAACTAAGATTGCATTTGTCAGATTACATGTCGTAAGAAACAACAGACTTCAAGACGCATCATCAAGTTTTCTAGAAGAGCCTTTTGTAGGCAGGAAGGTACTCTGGTTATAGTAAGATCCTCTAGGTGCAAGGCATATGAAATAAAATAGACACAGATTTGTAGCTGGTATGCTTTTTTACTTGAGTACAATTAACTTGAAAAAATGCATTAAAACACAGGTAGTCAGTCAGTGTCTGTTGAACAATGTGCTAGTTCAGATCGATGCATCAGGCAGTGTATGACTTCCAGCCAAACATCTTGTTAAATACTTGCAGGATTTCCCATAGCGGATCTTACTTTAATCAAATAATTCAATCGTTTCTTTTCTAAGTACAATAGAAGGGCTGGGCTTGTGTTTACAAAGTGTTCAGTATGGAAATCCTGTATTAATTGAGGTACATTTACTTCACTTAGGACAGTGTCCACATCGTAACTCTTTAAATAAAAGGTCTTTGGCTGTTGCCTGAGAGGCAATGACATCCAAAACTGTCCCGTCACGTACAGAGAGTCAAGAGGAAATGACCTAAAAGATGGATAGTGTAGACAGCAGGGGTATGCCTAACTAAAGGAGGCAACTCTGTGAATGATTTTCTACAGTGGATGTAAAAGAATATAATTCATGAAAGGTAGTTTTATCCCTATGGACGCTATCAGGTGAAGAGGCTGTGTCTTTCTCAATCTATTTCCCAAATTGCACAGGCAATGCCAGATGTTGCCTTTTTGTAATACTGCAGATTCATATAAGCTGTGCTTTAAATTATTATCTTTCTAAGGCAGCAGCTGTGTTTTCTATGAGTAAACATGATGTGCTTCCACCCAGCCTGGTGCAGGATCTGGAGTTTCTATTATTAACAGTAGAGCATTTAGAGTTTCACATAAAAGGTATAAAAAAGGGAAATATATTATTACTCGGTGATAGTATTATTACTCAGTAATAGCTGACTAAGATTGTACTCCTTAGAGTTCCTAATTTTGCTATGCCAGTAAATGCCAGAACCAAAATGAGCCCGACACAGAAGAATTAAACACAGAATCAGCATTTCCTTCTGCAGTGAGTTGGAAGATACATTTTGCTTCTATATTCTGTACAGTGAAATCTTTTTTTTTTTCCCCTTTTTACTGAATTATAATTCTGTTATAGTTCAAAGGTAATTTTGCCAGTGTATTAAATACCTGGCAAAAGAGGTGTTTTAGAACATTTTTAGGTAAATGTAGGTCAACACAAAGGAATCATACAGTTGGAAATATTTTCCAGTGTTTATGTTCAGATGTTCAGACCTGTCTGGCTCCTCTCTATTTGCATGTGTTGGGGTTATAGGCAGTCCGGCTACATTCCACATTGATTTATATAAATATATTACAGATTATTAACCTCCAGCCAAATACCAACAAATGTAACTTTTCAGGAAGACTTGCGACTTTTCACAAAACTGATTTACTGTGTACAGGGCATCTACCTTCCATACGTGCCTCATTAAGAGAATCACAAAGAGAATACTATTTCTGTTTATGAGAAATGTGCTGTTGCAGTCACTAGTTTCCCATAATCATTTAGTAAATATTTGTTCATACGATGATTACAGATTAAGCACAGATAACATTTTTTAAAAAGACGTAGGGTGACGGTCTCTTCATATCCTTTAACTCTAGTTCCCAAATTATTACTCACTGAAAAGATTCTTCAAGCTAAAAGGAATGTACATGCATCCCTTTTCAAAACATGGTGGCTAATAAACAATTTTTAAGTGTCTGTCCAAAGGTTATTTAGGAAATGCTTTTAAAATGGGTCCAGAATTGTAACATGTTAAATCTGTACCATTTCAAGTGAGCGTAATGCTGTCTTAAATTTTGGTTACAGTCTTCACAGATAGCTACGCCAATTCTTATCTTCCATTGCCTTGTGAAATATTTTGATATTTAAGGTAAGAAGTAAAAACTCAGTACAAAACATTTACCTCGTCTGTTTTTCAGATGACCTATTTTAAAAGCAGTGACTCCCAAGGCTTTGTGTGTGATCTGTTTTGTCTCCAGATCCTGCATAGAAAGTCCTTAGTCCTAGGACAAAGAACAAAAATATTACTTGATAAAATTATCAGAAATCCTGCACTTTCCACAAAGTAAGCAAGCATTTATTCTAAGAGAATAAAAGATGCATATAATAAAACAATGTAGCTGCTATCATGTTGACCAAAATAAGTGGTAGCGTTAACAGAGCAGTAACAAATCATTACTTTTGACTTGTTGTCAATGATAGGTTCTTCAGTTTAACTGTATCTACTTTTTTTTTTTTCTCAATAACTGTATATATTTGTATATTTGTTTAAATCTACTGTCACTTAGTAAAAGTAACAATTGATTTTCTGCCTCACTTCAGAGGGAGAGGCAGTCTGATCTGTACAGTTTTAAAACTAACTGAATGCACACATTAGTAAAGCATGTGAGCAGGGGACAGGATTTCTTATTGTGATTTTGTAGAAGCAGGACTTGAAGAAGGGTAATAAAAATGATGGTCGCTGGTATGACTATAGGTGAGAAGCACTGAAGGATGGGCAGGCATTTGTGCAAAAGATAAAAAAAACAGTATGGTAGAGGAAGCATAGAAGATGAGAGAAATCCTAATTAAAAAGAGAAAACAATAGAAAATAAGCTAATCAGATAGGAATGTGACATTATGAGGAGCTTTGGAAATGAGCTTGAATTTGATGTTGTGCAACAAGTTAAAATGATAAAGAAATTCCAGTAAAAGGATGATGGAAAGTGATGAAGGATTTCTTAGCTGTGGCATTTTGTAGATAAAGCTTTTTTTCCAAACTGTATCCTGACTCTGAAGGTATTCCTTGCTTCTGAAAACTTACAGTAGTCAACACAAAAATTCTGTTTCCACCAAAGAAGATTTACTTCTGAACAGAGGTAAAGGTGAACATGATAGTGATGTGGAAAGAAAATCAAGGTGCATGTAAGCACCCTGTATCTTTTTTTCTTCTCCTCAGAAATGTTACTCATACTGGTTTTTGAAAAGCCATGTGGTTGATGCAGGATAGACTGTGGATAAATATCAAGTCATTTTCTGTGTTAACTTCAGTTGCTCTGTCAACAAAATATTTTCTTTTCATGTAATTATTTTACTTTGATGAACTGATGATTCTTACTACTTAATCCTATTTTAGAATACACACATGAAAGAGAGAGATGATATTATCAATGTATCAATAGTTATCTGATGAATCAAGAGCTCTTTGCTCTACCTTTGGAAAGTATTTTTTTTTCATTCTCTATGCTATAAGAAATTTAAATAGACCTTTGTGACCTGCAAGGTATGTCTATACTGGTTCCTTATACTTACCTCCTCTTTTCTTTGTCTTCTCTCAGGTTGTTTGATGTGTGCACCGTGTCACGAACAGACAGAGAGACCAAGTTAACATTGGTGTTTGAACATGTGGACCAAGACTTGACTACTTACTTGGATAAAGTTCCAGAGCCTGGAGTGCCTACTGAAACTATAAAGGTATTTCAGAAGAAAGATGCTGGATACTCTTTCAGAAAATATAAGATAGGAAGGACACAGAAATAAATCATAAAGACCTTACTCAGGCAAACTGCATTTTAGTGGTGTAGGATTTTATCATACCAAAAGTGAGTAAAACCCAGCCTGGGACATGAGTTGCAATGCAGCAATCTGTATTCACTAACTGAAGTATTCTCTTTGTAGTAATGTTGTACTTGTTTTTTTCTCTTTTAGATTTTTAAATCCCCTGACTCTCTCCCATTTTACTGCAGTCCTACCAAATGTAGCATCTCAAATCATTAAGAATGATCTTTGCTCACAGCTATGGGCAGATCATTGCATTACTGTTTAGTCCAATACTGCTTTAACTTTCCCTAGAAGGTGGCTGATAGAGTGCTGGATATTGCTAGAATTAATAAGATAAATTCTGTGCTCCTACTCCATTCTCTTTGCTTTCTGTTTCCCCAAGACAGTCCTTCCCTTGCATGTCCCTCTGACTAGAAAGGTATCTATACATCTAAGAGCAGGAGATGTTCACCATCGACTTGCTGGGAGGGTGCTTGAGCTCATTCTCTGCAGAGGACAGAGGAAGTGCTCAAGGAAGGGGGTAGCATGACCAGTTGTAGAAAACAGAAAGTCTCTCAGGAACTGGAAACATGGTCACAAAGTTTTCCATCATGTCATCTCATACTCTGCATCTGTAAGGGAGAACCTCTTCCCAAGATAGGAAGTGCTTGTATTACTGGTACTAACGCATGTATTCCAGCTCCTCTCCTGGGAATTTCACAGTGAAGTGCTACACCAAGGATCATAGCTTGAAATGTTTGACAAAATGTTTAGGCCTGGAAAAAGAAGCAGAGGGATTGACGTTCCTACATTTTGATTACCTACCTAACAATTCTTTTGATTTTTCTTTTTCATGATGAGAGCTAATTTATGCTTTCAGAGAAGGATTGCCTTGCATTTGTATAAGTACTTTCTGGAGGTATGTTGTGTCTTCTTAGTCTGGCAAAAGTCCTGGGGGAGGAAAAGACAAGAAAAGAAAACATAAAAACCTATCTGAAATTTAGTTGTTTTAATATTTTTTGTTAACAGCTTCAAACTTAGGAGTTGTTTGATCTTTCTGTAAAAAATGAGACATAACACTGATAAAGATCTTTTAACTTGTATCAAAGTCACAAATGTATAACATCAGCCAGTTCCAGCAACTTTATTTTTTAAGCCACCCTGAGTGGATACAAAAAAAAATTTTTTTTGAAAAAATGGATACAACCTATATTCAGTCCTAGCAGAAGACTGGAATGTACCTCTTGCATTTGAAGGGCTCTTTTATGTTAACACTTCTAGGGTTCTACAGCCTCCTAGGGCTTTGATGGAAGGAATCTGTATATCAAAGTACCTAACATGGTAACAATAACATAAAAGGTAACTGACATCCTGTCTTACTAAATATATTAAAATAGATGGGAAATAAATGACCAAGCCTCTGAAATTTCTTTGAAATATCTTCCAAGCTATGTTTCACGTGAAGCGATCAGAAGAGGTGAGCACTGGATTGAAATGCTTCCAATTTTCTAAAATCCCATTTTAAATTCACACTAGTAGATTGTAATATGTATGCACAAATGTGCATTTCATGGCAGTTCTATGCTTGTGAAGGAAAGTGTTGGTTTTACTTTGGAAAATCAAATGTTATTCTGTTGTTGTGTCATTTCTTGAATTATGTTTAGGACAGGAATTTAAAAAGAGATCCAGTTGAATTAAATTGGACCTTGTTACTTTACTATTTATGTACCTTATCCTGAAAACACACAGTTTATGGAGGTACTTTTGCTGATAGTCTCTGAGGATTGATGACATGAGGGAAGTTCTCAGGACTTATTCCTAATGCGTTTCGATACCTTTCTAATGATAATGTCTTTATGGATGTTTCTGGTGGACACTGAGGCAAAGCATAGTTCTCTTGGCTGCAGGGAAATATTACCATTTTGCAGTAACAGAGCATTTAACCCAGAGAACATACATCGTTAAATGACTAATCTGACTTTTTATAGTTTGGCTTTTGAGGTTAATATGGATTTGTACTTCATTTATTTTCCAGAATCGCAGACAATTTGTGTAGAGTATTTCCCCTTACCACTAGCACAGTACAAAACAACTGCCAGTATTGTAAGACCATCTGTTAAAGTTCTGTATGTGTCAGCAGCACAGAGGTACCAAATGAGCTGAGTAAGCTCTGGATAGCTGGAGTTGAAGGATCTAATATACCTCTTTGGCACCATGGTGTAAACTTAACAGTTATTAGCGGAACTTGAAAGACATAAAATTACTATGAGAGAAGTATCAGTCACAGAAGATCCTTTCTCTGTGAGTTAACTATTACCATTACATACCATTTGAGGGTGGGAGACTCTGCTTTTGTTGGTTTGGGGCATTCTGTTTTTTTTTGTTACTAACTGTCAAGGAATATAAGTGACAACAGTGCCACTTTAACAATTTCTTTTATGTTTAGAAGATAGTAGTCAGACTGTAGCAATTCAGAGAAGGTAACCACATAGATCATTTAAACATACCCGACTCTTTTGTCCTAATGCTGCTCAGCAATGTCTTTCCAATGTCTGTATCCCTTCAGCAGGAGTCACCCAGAGGATATTTTAGGAATATATCTATTGATCTATATCTAGATATATAGATATCTATCTATCTATCTATCTGAGTTATACATTATTCTAGAAGAAGGTATTCTAAATCTTTTCTAATGAGGTACTTCAATTTTTCTATAATGGAGTGTTCTAGAGAGAGGGACAATGTGATCCCAAACGCTTGTGGACGTGGCACTCAGCTTTGAAAGAGAACTATGTTCGAGCCTTTAAACTAATTAATATGTCTCTGTAAATCCTGGATTATAGTCCTGCTTCCCATATTAGACCTAATTAATATTTGTTCTATATGGGATGAATCAGAATCAGCAATGACAACACCTTCCTCCTCTCCTCTCCTCTCCTCTCCTCTCCTCTCCTCTCCTCTCCTCTCCTCTCCTCTCCTCTCCTCTCCTCTCCTCTCCTCTCCTCTCCTCTCCTCTCCTCTCCTCTCCTCTCCTCTCCTCTCCTCTCCTCTCCTCTCCTCTCCTCTCCTCTCCTCTCCTCTCCTCTCCTCTCCTCTCCTCTCCTCTCCTCTCCTCTCCTCTCCTCTCCTCTCCTCTCCTCTCCTCTCCTCTCCTCTCCTCTCCTCTCCTCTCCTCTCCTCTCCTCTCCTCTCCTCTCCTCTCCTCTCCTCTCCTCTCCTCTCCTCTCCTCTCCTCTCCTCTCCTCTCCTCTCCTCTCCCTTAGCTTCTCCTCTCCTAGCCTCTCCTCTCTTCTCATTCTCTCCTCTTTCCTTCCTGGGATACTCTTTAATTTCAGGTCAGTTTCTTTGGAAATGGAAGGTATGAGTTCAGTTTCCTTAGGACACATCTGTTAGTCATGCATAGGTCTTTGGTAATGTTAATGCCATTAGCAGTTGAGAGAGATTTGGCTCATTAGGAAGTTTTGTTAGTTGACATAAGGCTTGTGGAAATGGGAATGACACATCTCTGCCACAGAACGGAGATCTTTTTATTTATTTTTTCAAAGGTTAACAGGCCACTAGAGCATTATGATGTGTTAGTCTTTGAGACTGAAGCGTGTTTAAGCTGGATGATCACATTTTGATACAATGCTTGCAAGGCTGCTATGTGTTTTGGATCCCAAAGAATTTGGATATAGGTGTGGTTTTTATATCCCTAGTTACATTTTTAGTATGGAAATCACGGGCATGCAAATTAATTGAAGTATGTGCAGTTAAGCCTGGCGTACCTAACCTACTGCAATGTATATAACAATACAGAACTTTAAATTGCTATGTAGATGTGATGATTTGGTATATAGAGTTAGGTGTTTTAGGAATAGCTTACTGGAGTTTTCTCCAGCCATCTTGCCAAGGAATCTGTTCGAATGAGAGAGGATAACAAAGTGTTAACAAGTTTCTTTTTGATTTTAGTAGTGAACAAAGCTAACTTTACTAGCTAATGTCATTGTAAGTAAAAAGGTGGCTTGTAATAGTTTTCTTATAATTCATCAGAATTACACATGCTAACTGGGCTGTGTATGCTTTCAATCTGACAGTCAGCAGATAAGGGAACAGAACAAAGGTCTCTGGTATAGCAAGCGCATACATCATCTATTGTGGGGTGCTAGAAGACCAGGGGATGATCTACCTTCCTCTGTGGTCTAAGAATCGCCATGTCATTCACCACAGCCTGGAACAGGGCAGCCTGGAACAGGGACAGAACAGGATTTAATGTGTATCCTTTCCTCTGGTGTTTACTGATTCCTCACTCAACTGAATGGCATTTGTGGATATTGTTTTTCTGTTTCTCCTTCGCACAGGAAGCCTAGGTCTCTGTCTGATTCAGATATCCAGATTTTGCTATTTAGATGCTACTCCGACCATACAGCAGTGAACCCCATTTCCTTTTGTGGATTTATCTGATAGTAGCCTATAAATCAAAATTTAAAATATTAACTCAGTCAGTTTTATGTCTTGGAACAGAAGTTGCTGTTACATCCCTGTGCACTTCCTTTAACTTACGTTACCTGCTAGCAAACCAGGTGGGCTGGTCACGTCTTTGCAGGGCTCTTAGAATATTAATATGAAGATGTTACTTCTCAGAAAGCAAACCAGCGTTCGGTGTTGTGAGGTGAGTCATCAGCCATCTGCCACAGTTGTACCTCCTCAGTTGATCACGTATGAGATGTGCAGCAGATGTCACACAATCGTGCAATTCTGAAAACAGCACAAGGTATTCCAGGAAAACAGATTCGCCAGTGCTGACACTCTTCAGAGCGAGGCTGTGTTTTACAACATCTAAATTAAAAGTCACTCCTTTATGCGTAGCTGCACTGAAAAAGAGCTTACAAAAATTAATAATGAATATACTAAGGGAAGAGCTGTTCATAATTTTTTCCCACAAGTATTTTTGT